TCTGTGATAGTATCTTCATCAGCCAAAATTAATGTCCGGTGATATTGGTCCGATTTTTATCACGTAATTTGTTCTAACGAGATTTTAATGGAATTACATTGAACATGTCCCGTACGATTTTATTAGATTGTACTTCCTCTTTCAACAAGCAGACTCACAGATAGTCCGCAGATTTTTGTATAAAATTAAACTTGTACGGTATGAATTTAGAAAATGAAATTTTGTAACAATTGTTACAATCATTGCGCGTGCGTGTGAGCATTAGGAATGCGAGGATTCGGATATATTTCCAGCAATATTGTCCACTGATCCATCGCGAGCTATTTTTATCTGTCGCAAAAAAGCGCATCTTTGACAGCAACCGTTTAACGTTGAAACGAACGTCATTGACGTTTTGCAAACTGCGCGAGGCGTCGCGGCGCGGCGTCGCAAGTAGGGCGTAATATTTCCGATATTTCCAATACTTCCCGGTATCTTCCTGGGACAGAACATTTTGGCAACAAAAACGGAAACCGACCAACGAACGTGTCAAACGTGTGCGCGCACGTTTTGCGCTTCCCTTTAGCCCACAAAACGAAGATACATGCGCTTCGAATACAATACTGCCTGTGGTACAAGGGAACAAAGATACGTACTCATGCGGTTTGAAGTCTACTGCTCCGTTCCATATTCGCGTCACTACTCCCGTAAGTACTGTAGATGTGGACACGCGCGAACACGTGTGCAACCTCAGGCATTATGGACGCGTTCTATTCGCGTGCAAGATACCGAAAGCCGGCGCTTCTTCTGGGTTAGTCCACATGAATGACAGTAACGAGAAAAGGAAACAAAACGAAACAACCGGCCAAAAACTGTCGTTTCGAAAATGGTCCGTACAATTTTCCAGCTTAATGTGGTTCTTCCAATACTCAATTGAACTCAATTGAGTGTGAACAAAATAAATATTCAAACAATCACGTTGATTCAGTTGACAACACAATTACTTATCATATAATTGATCCTCGTTGAATAATTCTTTAGATTAACTTTTTCAATTTTCCAATCAC